TGGCTGAGCACTCTCAGCTCTGTCTGAGCAAAGTGCTGTATGCCTCAGACCTCATGGCATGAAAGCTCTCCATTTGTTGTCAAGTCTGATGTGTTGAAAATTCACACATCTGCTTCAAGGTCCTTTACAAAAGCAGGATAAATACCTGTGCACAAGCTGATGACTGAGCTTGAGAAGTTTTAAAACTACAATTTAGGGTGCAGCTTGACACAGGTAGGACCACATTTTCCATGGGGCTGTGCAGCCACAGGGCTGAGCAACGCCTCCTCAGCACTCCTGGGAGCAGGGAAAATCCAGCAACCAACCACAAGATGCTCAGATTAACAGGCAGAGGTCAGTCTGGCACTCTGACCCCAATGGAAAAGCATTCATACCAATCCCACCCTCCCCTGCAGAGCAGCAGGAAAATCCCTTTCACTTTCAATTTAAAATGAAAATTTCAGGAATTCTTTACTTTCACCCAAGAAATGATTATGCTGTGAAATACGACTGTTTCATGTCATATGTAAGGCACCACCCTGGGGCCATGAAGTGCATTCCCCCATAAGACTGGAGCAGATAAGCAAAGCAGCACTGCTGATGCACAGTGCAGCTGGAGGAGATACGGACAGACTCTGCCTCTGCCGCTAATTGTGTGCTCAAATTAATGTCTTTGGGATAAATGACTCCTGCAAAATAAACACAGTGAATTCTTAGAACTCATCTAAGCAGCAGAGGAAATCCCCTGAACGAACCGGGTTCGGTGCAGGGGTTTGGGGTTACATGCTGAGAAACTCTGCTTGTTGAACAGAGCGGGCTTTCTCCAGGGTAATAAAACTCCTGCATTGTTGTGCCAGGGATTTTCCGGGAGGTGTGTGTCAGCAGGGGGTGGGAGCTGCAGTTTCTGTGGCCGGTCATAGAAATGGAGTGAGATCACCCAGAGGAACCGACCGCAGATCCCAGCGGCAGCGGGAGGAGAGCAGGGAGCCAGGAATGCACACAGCTAATGGGTTGCAAAAGGTTGTATTATTTTTTTTTTTTGTCCCCCTAATTAGTAATCATGTTCAAGTCTGATAAAACAGACCCAGGGATTCTCTGTTTTCCTTCAGCACTGGGAAAAAAATCTCTCACCAGGCAGGCTGAGGTTCAGTGTACGTCCCCATCTCCCTCCTGCCTGTCTAAAATCCCATAAGCAGCCTCGCAGCATGGAGGCAACAGTTTCTCCCCTCCCAAGCCCAGGGCTCTCCAGGAGCTCAGCGGTCAGTCCTCATACAGTCCCCCCAGTTATAAGCACTGTGTTAAGCAGAGGGGCTGTGGGACAGGAATTCACTCCAAGTCACAGAGCAGTGATTTAAGGTGGAGATCCACGACTGTGGTTCAGAAGAACCCATGGCTGGCAAAGACACAACCCTGTTACTTATTGGTGAGGAAAAGGAGTGAAGGAGCCAGATTCATATCTGAATCAGACCAAAGTCCAGAGCAGCCTGGGTCATAACAGCACCAAGAGCATCTTTCTCAGTGTTAAGATACCCTACACTACACCACTATGGGTTCTTTTTGCTCATGTGCAGATTTGCACACATGGGATGGTGTGAATGAAAGGAAGCTTCGGGGCTGTGACCATTACGTTGCAACCATATGTGGTTTTTTTTCCTGGTTACAGAGAAAAAAAGAACGGAGCAGTTCCCCATAGAGAGCACCTCTGCCCTCCCTTTGAAGTATTCATTTTCCATGATGCTGCTTTGGGGATGTCAGTTAGCGTTAGTTGTTCTTAACCCTTATATCTTGGTATTGCTTTCCCTACTAGTTGCAGTCAGTGACCCCAAAGAGCCAAGCAGTGGACTCCATAAGAGCACAGAGATGTTGCTGTGAAACAGAAGGACACATATTGACCCCTACCACTATCAGATTTCATCATGAAGATGCTAATGCACAGTAAACAGGCAACATTTCCCTACAAGTCCATGATACCATCAAGGACCTCACTTTCAATTCAGGTCGATACCGATCTACAGTTTCATGATGTAAGATTTCAGAATGGTCCCTGTGCCCCCAAAACCCCAGAGTAGATTGATGAAGGTGACACAGAGGGAGGAATCATGGCACTCCTGAAGCTGTGCTGGCCAGCACGACCTTCAGAGCTCATTTTCACTGCTCACAACCACCGCAGCAACCCTGAGGACAAGGCCAGTGGTATTTTTATTTGCTCCTTGAGGAGTACAAGCTGCCTGATGGCATGGTTCTCCCAGATACATCCTAACAAAGCAGTGCAGTGCCCAGTCTGCGCGTGGGATGCTGAGCTCCCACCTCTTTGCTGTTTGTTGAGTACATGGGTGCTCATGATGGGAGCTGGCCATGGCAGAGGTGAACCCAGTCCTATGAAATTCCAGGATTTTCCATACAAATTCACTGCTGAAATTACATATAGAGCTAATATCAAAACATATATATATGAGCATATATTGAAACGTACATATAGAGCTTATATATGAAATTACATATAGAGCTTAAGACTTGTTCGCAAAGAGAATTCATTCTACAAGCAGGAGCCCACCCAGAACTGCACACTCCATCTATGTTTAACTGTGGAAGAGCCAAGGCAGAGCCACACATGTTCTCCCTGTATCCCCAAGAAACCAGAGCCACAACAGAGAGAGAACACAACTCCTAGAGCCTCCAGCAGGTTTATCACTTTGTTCCTTAAAGATGGGCAGCAGGTGTGATGGAAGCATGAAATGTGGCTTTCCTGGTCTCTGAAAGCCAGGGAATAAGGTTCTGGCCAGGAGCAGAGCTGGTCCTGGGTGCTGTGAGCAAGGCAGCAATAGGGGAAAGGCAGAAATAGGGCTGGAAGAAGGATGTACAGTGGGAGAAAAAGCAAGTGCTGAAAATAGCATTGAGAAAGGGAAGAGCTCAAAGAAAAAAAAAAAAACCGAGAGGAAGATGGAGCTAAAAGAGATACAGCAAGTTCAAATTGTGTAGGAGTGCTTGAATTTCTTTATAATCACCCTCCTTGTTAGAGGCAAAAAAGCACAGGTCGGCTTCAAAAGATTTGAAACCAACTGCTCTGCAATGGAAGGACGGGTCAAGTCTGGAACAGATCACGTGAAACTGATAAATAAGGGAAGAATGAAACAAAGAGGGAATATTTATGGAGGGGAAATAAAGTAGGTGAATTAACATCTTGAGGATGGATGCAATTTGATGAAACATTTGCAGGAGATGGCAAGGAATACATCTGATCCATTTAGCATCTTGTGCAAAGCACTAAGCAACCCACAGATTCATCTGTAAGAAAACATCCTTGCAGATTTGAGCTGCTGAGACCAAAGGATTCAATGTCAGAAAGCTTTTGGGGCTAAGGCATGAAGCACCAGCTCTGTAGCAGCACCTTGGGAGAAGAGCCTGTCCTGCCCAACCTCTCAGCAGTGTGCTCACCATCTTATTGAGACATGAAATTTCTCCGATCTGCTGCCTTACATTTGTGCCTGTGCTTGGCATTAAGCAGCTACTATATTCTGTCTCGCATCCAGAAGGACGGCTGCTTTAAGTTGATGCTACAGGAACTTTAAAATAAAACATAGCATACGCTGAGGATGACTAATACATTCCCTGATCCTGGCTTGTACAGAACATATTGGAAAAATGGCTTTATTCTGTGTCTGTCATTTAGATAATGTGACTCCCCACCCATTCTGCTCGGGACACAGGGACACAGAGATGTGGCACTGAAGCACTGTCCCCAAAAAGCCTCCGTGGAGCAGCTCTGCGAGGGGAAGGGTGATTTTCATCCATGTTAATGCCAAGCCTCCTTAATCACACCTAGGAAGGAGTCCTGGATAACCCAGCTGAGGGAAATGGAGGCTTCTTATGGGGATTTGGGACCCAACGCTCATTTGGTCCCATGGTCCTGCATGCAACAGAAGGATGACAGCAGTGCACTCACTGCACATCCCAATCTGCTGCCTTCTTGCCAACCCCTGGGCTCCCTCCCTAAATCACTTTGCCATAACCATTACAGGTTGAGGGCAGGTGACAAGGAAGGGCTTTTCCTTTCAGGGTTGGCCCTCAGTGCTCACCACTCATTGCCAACACACACCTAAACCCGAGCTGTGCATGCAGACTGGGTGAGAGGTGAGCAGTCCTGAGCCAACAAGCAGCTTTCCTCTCACAAAGCACCACTTTACTCCTCTGGTTAGATGGTTTGATCATCCGTTAATGAAATATTTTAAAATAAAAGCAAACTTCAACAGGTAACAGCAGAGAGAAAACCACAACCACTGACTAATTAAAGCTTTTTTTCTAGCACACAAAAACCAAGACCACCCAATGGCAAGAGAAGAACTGATGAATCCTGCTCAGGATTCTGCAACACACAGGAAGGATGATCTTGAAGTATGAAACTAATTGCATCCTACAGACATGCTACTCATTAACTGATTTTTCATTTTTGAAAAGATAAACAATAATATTAGACCAGTGCTGAATTACTGAATAGAACTCTGCATTACCTGGGCCTATACATCAAATTTAGACTTTGCATCCATTCTGGTTTGAGCTACTTCAGTTGGGTGGGTTTAAAATCACATAAATACAATGGTTCTTTGCTCCCCCATCTAAAACCCAAGGAAAGAGCTCTCCAGCTTCTCATCACAATGGCAACAACCATCATGAACTTCATTCTCAGGAGAAGGCAATGGAAGGATGCAGAAGAAGTGGAGAGCATCTCTGCCACATCAGAGACAGCTGCAGGATGCAGCTGGGTGCTCTTCAGCTGTCTTCACTCAACCACCTGCTCACAGATGAGATCAAGGGGACTCTTAATTGGAGACAACTCAGAAAAGAACATGAATGCAGTCCGAATATCTGCTGATCTCGAGGGTGGGTTTGCAAGGTGGCTGCTGGAGGAAATCTGGAATCCAGCTGTACCTGGTCTCCACACAGCACCTCCACTGACAAGCCATCACTGTAACCAACAACTCCTATACAATCAATAAAAAAAGAGAAATAAAATTGACACTTACCCTCCTTCAAAGATCTTGATCCTGACTGGCTCCCCTCTTTTGGTTACAGCAGCCTCTTCTTCTGGTTTTCCTCTTTTATCCTCTTCCTTCTCAGCTCTAGTTATATCTTTTCGACCTTCATTAGAAAGGAGCGAAGGCAAATGAACCTATCTCCCCAAAAGAGCAAAACAATCATTGATTACATACAACATCACTCTACAGACACCACAGACCAAACACTGCAGGTTGAAACAGCAGCCCACCACACAGGCTGCTTGTGACAGGACAACATCTCAAGAAATACGATTTCTGCTTCTGGATTTTGAGCCCTGCAGGTTGGGTTATGTTTACAATGACCTCCTGGAAGTACTATTTAGATGCATGGTGGCTCAGGGCTATCCAGGGAGGTGTTGGGGTGAATCTGAGCGTGTGGCACGGCCATGGATCTCTGTCCCCAAATCCATTGCTCTGTCCTCGGATCATCCCCTCCCTTAATATGCATAAAGATCTTGAGAGCAGACCTCACTAGAATTCATATATTTAACCTCAACCCCTGGATTTCCCCCTCGCGCACACACACTCGCACAGTTTTGGACTTGGGCCATCTAAGCTGGATGTAAATCACTCGACAGTCAGAGCTCGTGGGTGATTTCCTCTCACCAAACTGCTGCCGAGGGCGCCGTGCACAGAAAGCCACAAAACCAATGGGAGAAAACAACCCTCGACCTCCCCACATGTTCCCAGGGCCAGCTTGACTTTCTCACTGCTACCCCTGGCCACCCTTTGTTCATAGCCAGGTCTGAGCCATGTGCTGACATCTCATCTCGCACGTGTAATGTTATCTGTTAAGGAATCTGGACTGAAATGTCAGAGCTGCCTCCCTACCCCTGCCCAATGCAAGTGGAGCTCTCGCACCTGGAATGGAATCTTGGGAAGTTTCCCTGTTAAAACCTAACATTACACATAATGGGTCTCCAAAGCTTTGAATAATGGGTCTCCAAAGCTTTGAGAGAGGGAAGTAGGCTGCCTTCTACCCAGGTTACATTTTACATAAATGCAAAAACATCTTTGAAGTACAATTGAATCACCCACATTCTCACTTCATTTATTATTTCTCGAAAAAGAGTGAGGGTTTGAAAGACACAGGGTCAGGAGAGGAATTTCTGCCTGTAGAAGTTTAAATCCGAGCTGGTCACCCTTGATTCTACGGCCAATGGAGACAGCGGCAGCTCTCAGGGTGATTAAGCACTTATCTCAAGGGAACAAAGCACTCACCAGGTGCCTCTTTGTCTCCCCTGGTTAGAGAGAAGCCACAGAGCTCAAAAAGAGACCTGAAAAGTTCCGTGGGACCTGGGGCTGCTCTTTGCCCTGGGCCAGCTCACACAGATGATCCCAACTCCACACCATCAGCCCCATGCATGCTTCCAAGATGCCTCCTCCAACCTCCCCTGATGTTCCTGGGCACCACGTGGGTTATCCACCCAGGACAGAACGGGGCCAGGCACCATTACAACAATTTAACAGCACAGATGGATCTCTATGATTCTATGGAGATGTGTTCTGTGCTCGGAGCCGATCAGTGGCACCTCTGAAAACTTAACATGGAGCACTATGACTTCACCTCCTGATGGGAGCTACACGGCCACAGCAACGCTAGTGAAAGCCTTCCCAGTTCAGTTCCTTGAGGAATACAAAACAATTGACTTTCTAGATGTAGCATGAGGTTTATTTATTGCAACTTTTGAAAGCACAAAACATAGACAGATGAAAGGCACCGTGGAGAGCCAAAATCATACAGTCACTACTACCCCCTGTTACAATCTCGTTTAATTTACAAACTGTGCAAGCACGATACAGTGTAATTAACCATCCCTACATGCACACTGCAGCCTACAGTCACTTCAGAATTGATCTGCTCAGTAAATCCCACTGGCAATTTAGAAATCAAGCCAAGTACGTAGACAGTATACACAGTACTACTGCTCGCTGATAGCTTGCTGCATGCATAATTGTACAAAATATTAGAGCTTTTTTACATTTTCTGTTGTGTTGACTGACAGCTTATAGTTCCATACGGAAGAAAAGACTTAAGGAAATAGCTGGAGTTAACTGAAGGTTGAACTCTCAACCTTTGATTGATGCCACTGCTACGCAGCTCCGGGTAATCGCGTCTTCCTGAGTAACCAGCAGCTTCCTAATCTGTGCCAGTCATAAGCATCGTAGAGACTAAACTGGGGATTTCACTCCCACTGATCATCTAATTAAAAACATTTCTTGACTTGGCATGAGGTCAATTTATCCCCATTGAAATTAACGTAATTCCTGCAAAACCCACTCCTTCCAGCAGCAGGTATTAATGTTAAAGTCAGGCTATGTCATTTTCTAGGTGGATTTTGCAGGACAAGCCCTTGCTTTTGCAAACTGCACTGTGAGGACTGCAACTTTTGTAGGGTTTTGTCTAAAAGGTTTGTCAACCTTTGAGTTGAGCATGCAGTGAAAGAGGTGTTCTGATGGGTGAGGGCTGAGCCGCTCCCGTGTAGAGCTGAACTTTTAACTCTGGGATATGAGGGTCTGTCGTATTTCTGAAACACAAGGCTTTGTGTTCATTTTAGCACCACGCCAAAGAGCAAAGTTCAAAGGAGCACAGGCACTTCTATTAGAGAATGAAATCAAGGATGGTACAACACCCTCCAGATAAAATCCACCGAAAAAAAGAGTGCATAAATATCAAGCATTAGTGCGGTTATTGCACTGCACAGGTAATTATCTGCCCCCAGGCTCCAAGAAAATCTGCCTTTTGGATTTCTGCAGAATGATGGAAATGCTGAATAGAAATAAAGATTTATTGAATCACAGCGACTCTACTGTGCATTTTAAGACATATTTATAAGCAGCAGCTGCAGCAGCGATTACGATAAATTTAATATTCAGAGTTCATTTCATGATTCAGAAATAAAATGAATAATCCATCAATATAAATTGACTTGAGATGAATATCAAATTGCAAAGTCTTTCGAGCAATTCTGTTTGCTAATCTACATGAACATGACCTGGATTAAAGGGATCTGTATGGTTCAGCATTAACTGAGAGAGAAAAAAATCTGGCCTCAATGCGAGATACAAAAGTCCATGCAGCAGAAGCATCTTAAAGACTTTCTGCACCCGTGTGGCCAATGGCTTTGGCGAGCTCTGCCTGCACGAAGCCACTGACCTTGCTCCTCTTAATTCCAAAGATGATGTGTATGATATCCTTAGGTATCCAGAAAAGCAGGCAGACAGCTAAGGACGTTAACTAAATGGGCTAAAAGACATGGGTGTTTTCACAAGGCTCCATGTCTAACCTACTGAGGCTCTTTTATAAATGTCACTGCATGCCTATACACTTCTTTGGGAGCCTAAATACACTTTGCAAATCTCCCTTTAATATTTTTAAATACTTTTAAGCATGCCTCTCCATGTTCATTAACGTGAGATCAGTAGATGCACAACCAGACAGAATCCCATTTCCCCAAGGTAATCCTTTTTTCATTTTTAACATGCAAAATGTAGGGAATTATAACAGCATTTATTAAAAAAAAAAAAAAAAAATTGTAAAGCTATTTGAAATATCGAGACAGAAAATGCAAATCAAGTCTAATCCTTTGTGCTCGAGCAGTGGCGGTTCGTGGTGCGGTGGTGATTCCTACATGCTCTTTTGATTACAAGGCAAGTAGAAACTGGAGGACAGAAATACGGCACATTGCTTTGGAGCAGGCTTGCCTTTTATTTATTATCATTTTGGGGGGGATTCTAGTGGGTGTTAGCTTCTTCACTCTATAAGTTTCACTGAGAACTTACCAACTTGAGAAAAGGATGAACAAATTCCTATTAAACTAACAGTAGCAATTCCCCATCCCTCGTCCCCCTCTTCCCATGTATCCAAATAGATGAGGAGAAATATATAGGATTGCATTACCTCTGTCATTTTGGGCTTCCTGGAGCTGGACGGGACAAGCCTGCCTGCCTCTGGCCGTGGAGCAGTAGCCATGGTGTAGGTTTCCCTGCTCACCTTCTGCTTGGACCTCAGGAGGGACAGGGCAGCTTTAGTGGATATACCCGGAAGGTTGGGGTTATACAAGCTAATACACCAGCTGGCATATACTGAAGACCGCCGGTCGACTTGCTGGATGTGATTTGGCTTTATGTAGTTTAAATAGCACCAACTGACATTAGTGGTTGTGTGGAGACTGGGGAACTGAAGTACCTTCTTCATATCCGTACCTTCTCGAGACTTCATTGCACTTGAAGGGACCTCGGACGGAGGTGCAGGGCTTGGAGGGCTTGGTGGAGGCTGCTCCACCGGCTCTTTGGAGTCTTCTTTCTTCACGCTTTGTAAAGGTGCCTTGACAAGGGGCTGCTTGCCAGCTGGCTGCTGATACTCGTCCAGCGCCTCAAAGCTTGGAGAACCGGGCCGGGACACGGCTTGCTGCAAAGTACTTGGGGTTTCCTTTAGCTCCGACTGCTCTAAGGACAAACTAGGTGGTGTTTCAACCTCAACCCTGCCTTGGCTTTCGGTAAGAAAGTGAGCTTTATCCTGCTTTTTCCCTTCCTCTATTGCACTGGGTGGCTTCACCACTTCCAACTTCCCCTCTGCTTCTGACGCCTCCTCCTCTTTCACTCTTTTCTGCTGCTGCGTTTCCATCGTCAGCTCCAAACTGCCCGCTGGAGAGAGCATCCTCTTGCTTCCACCAACGGTGGACGGGCCTCCCTCCAGCCCAAGGACACTGTCTGCTGGGGAGGTGAGCGGGATGCAGCCCTTTCGCTCCGGTAGGGGTAAGGGCACCCTCAGATACGGGCTCTGGAAAATCCTTTGCTCCTCTGTGATCATCTGTGCTAGATCAAACCCAAGGCCGTGCACATCAGCACTGCAGACCAGGGTGCCCTTGGGTTGGCAATCATCGAATTTGGGGAGAACGATAGAAGAGGAACTGCACTGGGATTGAGTGACCAGGATCTGGGAAAGCGTGGTGTACATGGCGCTCCCATAGGACGGCATGTTGGTCTGAATGCGGACGGGGACCACGAGGGACACCACAGGGTCCGACCGCGTGGGAACGATGAGCTGAGCTGTGGACACTGGCACTGAAGGACTTGTCGTGCGGGTCAGGGGGTACAAGCGAGTGTCCGAGCTGTATTCTGTGCACGGGGAAAGGCTGGAGGTCCCTGCTGCTGGGAATAAACTGGATTTGAGCTGTGGTAAATGTCCCCCAGCTTCTGGCAGCTGGAGAGCAAACTGAGACTGAAGAGGCAAGAAAAAGGCAGAGGAGATTGGCGAGGAGCTGGGGTAGTGCACCGGCAGGAAGGAGGGGTGCTGCCTGAAGGGCACCTCGGTGGGGTGCGGTATCAGCGGCGGAGCAAGGTGCAGCGGGCCCGGGTGCAGCAGCGTCTGCTGGAGGGGCAGCGGAGGGGTCTGGAAGATGGAAGGGGGAAGCTGGGGCACGGTGAGCTGCGCAGAGAGGAGGTCGGACATGGTGTGTGCAGCAAAGAGCTCCGCAGGCTGCCCCGGCTGGGGCAGGAGGGGCTGGTAGGGGAAGATGGAAACTTGTGGGGAGAGGTACTGCTTTTCGTGCAGCGTTAGCTGGGGGATGGGATGGAAGACTTGCAGGGCTTCTGTGTAGGGCTGGGTATATGCAGGCTGGGGGCTGTCTTTCGGCTGGCTCTTATCGCTTGGGTAGGTACCGTGAGAGGGCAAAGGGGATGAAGATGGCGGCTGATGGGGCAAACTTGTCGAGGGAGATTTGCTCGAGGAAGGAATTGGGTCTTCTGCCTCTGGTCGGCCTGGTGGGGCTGGGTCTGGCTCGTGCTCCGGATGCCTGGTGAGGGATGCCTGCCTCACAAGAAAGCATTTCCTCCTCTCCTGGGGAGCCGAGGAGGTGGAGGGGCCGGGAGTGGAGGCAGGTGTGGAGGACAAGCTCCCATAGTCAAAGGACTTGCTGCGGGTCTCCGACATCTGGGAAACATGGGACACATTGGGTGTCTGCTCAGAGGCAGATCTCCGCATCTCCCTGGAATGATGGTGGTGGTGGCTTGGGACCATCAACATGTGGGAGCCAACACCTGGAGGCTTGGAGTGGGATTCGGGAGGCTGGCTGCTGGGCTCCGTCTTGCTGTGATCTTCTCGATCGAATGACACAGAATGGCTGGAGCCATGGGATACACTGCTCTCCTGGCTCGGGCTTCTGGTGAGAGAGACCGACTCAAAGCTGGACTCTCCAGAGGACTGAGCCATTTCTGCCAGTCGCAGCCTCTTCTTTTTTGGTGGGAGTTTCTCTGCAGGGAGCTGAGAAAGCGTTTGGCTTCTCTGTGGCCATTGAAATTCCTCCGTTTTTTCTGGCTCTTTCGGAGGAGGCTCTGGCTCTGTTTCTGGTCTGTCAGGCTCCTCCGTGACCAGAATCTCTGGGACCTGGATGTTGGGCTGTCGCACCAGCTTGGGCTGCAGGGAGTGATGCGGTCGGCTGTGCTGCGCAGTTGGCTGAGATGGGAACTGTGGTGTGGGCTTCTCTTCGCCCTCCAAGCCGCTCACCTGCTCGATGGAGTCGGACTTCTCAAAGGAGCTCGTGTGCTGGATGACAGAGATCTCCTTTGAGGTCGTCCTTCTCTCTTTGCCTTCCGTGCTTGAAACCAGTTTGGTGTTCCTGGAATGGAAGCTGGCACTGACATCAGAAGGTGCGGATTTCCCCGGGTCTGCTGGTGACTTCATGGATTCACGGGTTAGGTTTAAAGCGACGTCAGATGATGCCGGGTTTGCAAACTGAGCCCCTGGCCCAGTGCTGGAGGAGGGAGTATCCGACAGCTCAAAAGCTGGAGGGTCCTCATCGTCACCCAGGCTCTTCTCTTTTCGCCGTTTTCGGAGCGGGGTGAGCTCCAAAGTGCTCCCTAGTTTGTAATGCATCACCTGGGGCCATGTGTCAGGATCCATGACATTTTTCTCAGTCTCTGAAGAGGTATGGGAAATGGAAGAACGTGGCTTTGAGAGCTGCAGTTCTGAACAGTAGTATTTCTTATGGGCTTCATAATTATCCCTTTTCTTATACCGAGCACCGCATACGTTACATTCATACATGAACCCTTTAACTTTCGTCCCCTTCCGTGATTTTTTGGTAAGATCGCTTTCCTTGGTTTCAGGCTCCTCGGGAGGTTTGGAAACAGTTTCTTTGCTCGCAGAGCTAACCTCCTCCGTGACATATTCTACTCCCAAAGGTAGCTCGATAGCTGGTTGTCGTTTTAGCATTCGAGGATGGGAAGAAAATGCTTGACTGCGGCTTAAGACTTCGGGCTCCATGATGTGATCATCAAATGAATAGCTACCTCTGAAGGTGTGTGGGGAGCTTATAGTGCATGCAGCAGAAGGCATTGAGTGGCTTCTTAGGAGAGGCACTGTCTCTGTGGCACTGTGGGATTGCTGAAGTGACAACAATGATTGTTCGGGCTTCATTTTTTCACCATGGGATGTCAACGCTTTTGAGGCATCCAACTGGCTACTGGAACCGGACTTGATATCAAACTGAAACGGTTCCCTATAAGCAGCAGACTTTGGAGATTCAATGCTGCTACGTCTAGATAAAGAGCTTCTTCTAGGCTTAACACTATCTATTTCACTGGTATCTACAACAGCTTCATTAATTGTAATTAGCTTAGTGATGTGTTCAATAACCTGTGTTCTAGGCACAGATAATGGTACCATACTGGGTTTCTCTTCGGTGGAGAGATGCGGAAACCCCTGCGTTGTGTTTGTAGACAACATTGCAGTCCTTTGCCCAATTCTACCACATTTCCCAAAAATAATTTCTGCATAAGATTTTGCATTAGTATTTGGGGGGCTGATCTGCTGCTCTGCACTTTCTGACCTGGAGAAGTAGCCCGACTCAGTACTTCCTTTACTCCCCGGGCTCAGGAAAGCTTGTTCATCTATGACCTTCTTCCGTTCGCTTAAGCGGAGTGCAAGCTTCTGCTTTATCGTGTGGGTATCTTCTGATTTATGGCTCAGAGCTTGGTCAGATGGCGGCTCTGCAAACTGGCTGCTGTCCTCAAGCGACTGAGACATACTGGAATGGGACAGGGAACAGCGGTCATGGCTGGAGCCTTGGCTCCCGGCGCTCAGCAGGCTGCTGGACAGCAGGGTGTGCTTCTGCCTTGGGGAGAGCTCTGCAGGGTGACCCGACATCGCTCCCGTCTCCTCCTCCGAATCTGTGCTTTCCCCTTCTGTTGGCTCCTCAAAGTCCTCCCCACCAATCCGCTCCATTTCCAAGCTCGACGGATACATCTCTGCTCCTATCCCTGAGGCCAGCCCAGCTTTTATTCGGTGAGCATGAGATTTCCTATGTTTATACAAATTGCTCTTAGTCTTAAAAGAAAAGCCACATGGAATGCAAGGGTACGGCCTCTCACCTGTGTGTGACCTGATATGTTTTTGGAGCACACTTGGCTTCGCACAAGGCCTGCTGCAGTACTGGCAAATGTATTTGCCTGGCTTCTGAGGTTTCTTTTCCTTCTTGTGCACTTCCTCAGCTTGTTTTAAGGGAACCTGTGAAGGGCGAGGGATGTAGACCTTTTGAACGGACGGCATGTCCTCTCCAGGAATGATCGGTGAATGGGAAGGTAAGAGCTGGCCGTGGTGTGCGTGAAGCCCGGGCGATGGAAAGGAGCCAGAGGGACCTGGTCTTACGGGATCAACTAGCTGCCATGTGGGCCCTTCAAGGACATGCTCGGGTTTCCCAGGAGACATGAATGCTGGTGACAGTGCGTGCTGCTGAAGCTGCGAGACGTGGGGAGGGTGTTCGAAAGAGGAAGGCTTAGGTTGCTTCTGATGTCCAGTCTTCTCCTGAGATTCCTCCCTTGGAATCGGCAAAGAGCCAGAAAAGTGCTGCTGCGATATGAGATCTCGGAGAGGGGTTCCTTGCGAAGAAGCGGAGCTGCCCTGATACGTAGCTGCAGATGAAATACTGGCTTGGAAAGCCTCTCCTTTGGGAAGCCTCTTTCTTGGACTTTCCTCAGCCTTTTTTGTGCTCTTCTGGCTTTGTTCAGGATCCATGACCTTAAAAGGGTCTTTGAATGCTATTTCGGGAAGGTTTTGGCAGGCTTCATTTACGAATAATAAAGGTCTCTTCTGCAGATTCCCTGTTTTGCCTGCATTTGCTACAAAGCTGGAGTCGCCAGGAGATGGTTGTTGATTTAAGATTTTACTAAAGTGTCACTAGTTGCTATTTGACTCAAAAAAAAAAATGTTTCAAGGTCAATAAAGTTCACATTGGTAACACATGACAAACTACTTCAAAGAGAGAAAACTTTCCAAAACTTTTAGTCCAAATATTTTCCTTGTGAACTTGGTTAAGGCTTTAAACCTTGCCATTTTATTTCAGTTGACAGTGGCAAGCCTTCAAAGTCAAGATGCAACCCACAATGTGTCTCTTGTTTGTTATGCAAACCTTTGAAAACTTGAGACTTTAGTGCTCATCTCATAATGATCTTTTTTTCCTGTGCAAGGAAAATAATGCTGAACGGTGTACGTCCCCCTGTGTCTTCCTTCTGTTCCACTTCTGAGTTCAAAAGCCTTGGAAAAGCATTTCCAACATTTCTGCAATTACATCCAAGAGAAAAACAAACAGAAAATAATTACTTCAGCATTTGTATTTAAGTAATTAAACAGTGCTACTTTTACAGAGAACAACCGTAAATATTTCGCAAGAAGAAATACAGAATAACTGATTGAATGTCCACAATTTATGAGACATCGCTTGCAACGATAACCTAAACATAAATCGTACTAAGTCAAACCTCAGGGACTTAAGCTCAGTGTAATGTACACATAAGCTGGCACTGCAGCTGTAACCAAATACAGTAACTTGAAACAAACTCAGATCTGAAAAATGTATTTAAATGGCTCCGAACGTGGATTCCTCCTAATCTCCTGCAAACATTTATAGTTTTACAGTTTTCTGTAATTGCACTTCCCTTCCAAACAGACTACACAGTAAAACTGACTGTACACAAAGCACTGCCTAATGCAGCACATACATTCACTGATGAAAAAGAGCAAATCCTTCTGCATGAAATCCGCCCCTAAGCTTGCAGTAATCTTCTGTGTCACTTACAACAATAGCAGGCAAAGAGAAAGGACATGCACTCTTTTACTGAAATTTTGTTTCTTTAATTTCCTGCCTTTTGCTGCCAAGCAATGATGCAAGTCCAGCTCTATACTATGCACATATTTCATATGGGCAGGATGTTGAAATTGCTTGTCTATGAAGGCAAACCCTCCTTACAACGGGAAGCTCTACGAAACCTACCATGCTTGTCATCAAATACAGCTACTAATGAGGCACTTGGAGAGGAAATACTCTGATTGCACTGAAAGAAGACAGCATCACCAAGAGATGGAACAGAAAGTGGGAGGAGTGCTCCCAAGGATGGGGCTTTTTAAGTGAAGCAAACTGATACGTATGATTTACAGTGAGATAGAAAAGAAAGTATCTTCCTTATGAAAGTGTCCTCTGCTTCGCTACAACAGAATGGCATTGGTTTAATGGGAACTTGCTCAAAGCCCTGCTGCTTTCCTACTGCCCCATACAGGGGAGAACGCAGGGATGGGGCTGAAGAGTAAACCACACAAAACAGGGAGGCACAGGGGACTTCAGCTGCCCAATAGCCCAGCCTTATCCAGAGCAGCAACAACAAAGAGCCAGCAGAAGAGGTCCATTGTGTTTTATGCAAAATCCTCTATTTATCTGGTCCTACAACCCTGTGGATGCTCTGCATTCCATGAGAAAGAACAGATGTGGGGTGTAATTTAATTCAGCTGTGTCTAAAAATATGGTAGTATCCCCCACTGGAGGTGTTCAGGGCCAGGTTGGATGGCGCCCTGGGCAGCCTGGTTTACATTAAATGTGGAGGTTGGTGGCCATGCCTGTGATAGGGGGGCTGGAGTTTCGTGATCCTTGAGGTCCCTTCCAGCCTGGGCCATTCTGTGATTCTGTGATCCAACCAATCATATTTTACAAGAGTGGTCAAAAATTGCCTATTCTTTGGATGCAATTGATCCCTCTAACCTTAGATGGGTTCAAGTCGTAAAATTCCCCTATCCTCCCTTACCATCACTGGGAGGTGCAGGTGCCGATGAGGGACCCCATGGGGACAATTCATCCCACTGACTGTCCTGATTTGTTCTCTCTTATTAACAGGAGCAGTGGCTTACTCGTTCTGCTCTGACATCCACACTGAGGTACATGCACAGAAAACTCACTCCTATCTTAATGCTTTACTTTCCTTTTTCTGATCTCCTCCAGCAAGAACTTTGCTTCTTCCCAGCCTTGCACTTGCCCTGACTCGCTAGGAAAGGTGCCTCATGTTTATGTGCTCATTACTACGAGGCGTAATTAATTACATTTTGAAATCCCTTTCTGAGAGTGCTGGCTCCTCCATGCTGACCAAGTGTGGTCTGGGCTACACTTCGAGTGCTGTATTTACAGCACAGGACTTACTCAAGATCAAAGGCATCTGGGAAGCTGATTTATCACATCCATTTTTGCCCAAGATTGTGTTCTTTGCCCCACTCGTGACGCACAGAGCGCATTAAAGTGGTGGAAGAGGATTTAAGATGAGACTTTTTCAGCAAGCACAAAGTGAATGCTGCCTCCCACAAGCTCGCACACTCACATTTAAGAATTGTCAACAAAAGAAAGCCTGAAAAACATGTTAATTCTGTTTTCTCCTTTAGGCTCTATATCCATTCCTAAGTGCAAAACAATTGGGCCTGCGAGGAAGCTTTCTGAGATGATTCAGTATCATCCCAACTGTTCAGACTTCTTCTGACGAACACATGGGCTGCAGCTGATTTAGTCAGGACCTCTGCACAAAAGTTAGCATTTGAAGAACTGGTCAAGGAACAAGCACACCTGCTGCCTACAGCAGCGAGTACGACTATTCTGGGGCAATTCAGGCTACTTTCTACATATTTTTTCCATTATTGGAAATGGCCCTTGGAATGGCAATGGCAAAAGATAATTCTCCTGGCTGGATACCATTTCACTGGATTGATACCTCTCCAAGGAAAATTCAACCGTGTGGAATAAAGCAGCAGAAAAACATGAAGTCCACTGAAGCTAAAAACTGTGAGTGTTTCTTTCCTATGAGCTTGGTGACACGGTGGGACAAGGGAATGAAAGCTTCCAAAGGGCTGAGGGTGGACATCCAACCCTGCTGTGCGCTGCTGGATAAAACCTCAGATAGCTAAGGAGGAGCACTACATACAAAAAAGCCTACCCTCATCTTATTTTTCTTCATTTTCTTCAGTTTCTCTTTTCTTTCTTTCAGACAAAATCTGCCTTCAGAAACTCCAGCCTCTTTATTTTCATAGACTCATAGAATCACCAAGGTTGGAAAAGACTTCCAAGAGCATCTCATCCAACCATCCACCTACCACCAATATTTCCCCACTAAACCATGTCCCTTATCATCATGATTTCCCCATTCTCCCATCTTTTTTCTCAGAAAAGGCATATCTTTTGCTTTTACTTTCATCTCTGCCTCCACATGACCTGAGAAGTCTCTTTTCTCTGTCATGTGCTATGCCTCTACTCTTTTTGCTTATCAGCATCGACTTTCATTTAGCTTGTGCTCTGCACTGCCTTCTCTGTAGATCAGCACAGCAAGGCAATGCATAGCACTGGCACAATGTCAGCGAATCCTTAAGGAAAAAGTCACATGGATTTTATGGGACGTGGTTTCCAGCTGCTAACATTGCATGTCTGGGGCCAAATCCAAAGTACAGGCATTAAAATGGAGGATTCCAGCTATTATTTCTATTCAAACATAATTTCTCAGGGTTTTACTTGAAGTTCAATGGAGTGAACATGAACAGAAATGCCTGTTTCATTTGTAAGACAGAAACAAAGGCTTCCAACTTGATGAAGGAAATAAATGAGAAAATTCCTTCTAATTTGAATGGGAACAGAGTTTCACCCTAACACCTGAGATAAAATGCTTAGGAATGCTATTTTGGTCTTGTTGGTATTTTGAATTATTTTATTATGGTGCAATGGATTTCTGTGAAGATGCACAGGAACACAGACTCACCAAATCCTGAACCTCACCTAAGCCCTCCTAAAGGACTTGAGGAAGAGCCAAGCAGCCAGTGCAAAGCACTGACCCCATCACTGTTCATATTCCCTGGAAGAAGCTCTTTGCCATTGGATCTGGGATGGAAGCTCGCAGAAGTTGGCAGACAAGTGACACCCGAGCCCCAGGTGGGAAAGTCACTGAGAAGACATTTGAAGGAATCCTTCATCTACCCTGAGGTTGGCCTCCAGGACCCAATCCTTCTAAGTAAGATGAGGAAAACTGCAGTGCTTGGCTTTCTGCTGCTTGCCTGTTGCTTCCAGCAAACTAAAACATCTCATTACAGTGGTTCCTTAAAAACCCTCCTGGTGGCAAAACTCTGCTGTTTGCAATACCGCAGCAGATGGAAGGGTTTTCTTTGCTGTTTGGACCTGTGTAAGACAGATTGAGATCCAGCAGGCTTAGCGGGAAGCTATTCCAACAGAAACCCTGCCTTTCCGTACCATTCCAACCACAACAGACAGCATTTTCTTCCACACACAGAATTCTAGACTGTTTTTAAGAAGGTGAGAGCAGCTACTGGAAAATCTGCCTGGTCACTCTCCGTGATAACTTTCAAACCATTTGGCCCACTTCCATCAAACTTAAAGTCTATCATAGCTGACACATGTTAAATATATTTGGATTCTTCCAAGTTTTGTGAAAATGAATGAACTAAGCAAAACACAAGCTCCTGTTTCTGCTCTGCAGAAAGGTACGGCTCCCTTCTTACTTTAGCATTCCCTTCTTACTTTTAGCATTTTCTCATTTTTAAACCAGAAATTCATCAATCTGGGGAGACAAAGCTGAGTGAAACCAGATCCCTTTTGTCAGTGGCTCATGGTGTTCCTAGGTTCTTACAGAGCTCTGCAAGGCAATGTCTTATCAAAGCAGATAGGGCTATGGGCAAAGCACAGAGCATTCTGCTGCCTGGAGATCATGACTGTCACACTGAGATCCCAGCTGCAGCTTTGAATGACAGCACAGATGCTCTCTTGGACTTTCAAAGTGATTTATGGCCAAGGAGGTTCACAATGTAAATAGTGGGCAGCACTGGTAGATCATTACCTCTTGTATATATGCTCAATAATATAAAATGCTGATACAGCATTGGCAGGACTTGCCAGGCAAAAAAAAATTGCTGTTTAGCAAAGAAAAAGCAAAGTAAGGCAGACAAAGAACAGAACAACAACTGTTTCCAGGCTGAGCCCACTGCAAAGGGCAATGCACACATCCAGAGCAACTCACTAGGAAAAAGCAGAGGTTACTTACAGTGGACTTGATAGCCTGTAATTTTGATGGTGTCTCTCCCTCGTCTGCCCAAGATTTAATTCAGTCTGTAAAAGAAAGAGCACGTTGGAATCATAATGCTTGGATATTAAAACGCCATCTCAGCAGTGAGCACACAGGGTTACATCAGGTGCCCTGATGGAAAGAATTGCTTGGTAACCAGAACAGTACACAAACGGAGTCCCAACAGCTGGAGAAGCCCTTGGTGACTGCACTCACCTCCTGCAGCAAGTTCACCTGATGGTGATGTGCACGCTGCTGGAACACACTGCTATGGCTCTCCTCCTCTGTGGACACCACATTGGCAAGCACACATTTAGGCTACCTCCACTTCATTCAACCATTCAGTTCCTCCATACTTACCTTCCACTGAGCTTTTAACATGAATGCACTGATCTGCACAGGGGTCAGGCTTAGACAAAGCAAGATCCCAAGTGAAGATGTGCTCTGAAAAACAACCCTGAGCACAGAATCCTAAAATGACAGAATTGCTCAGGTTGGAAAGGACCTTAAAAATCATCAAGTCCAACTACAACCCAACCATACCACCCTAACTCAAACAACTCTCCACTAAATCATCTTTGCATGCAAAGAAAAGGAAGACTCCTTCACAGACATGAGCACTGCAATTCCATGGAAGAACAAACAGTTCCTCCAAGGCAATGGCCCATCACCAAATCCCATGCTCAATGGCGCTGTGCAACCCACTCTGCAGCAGGAGGGCTCAGACCCACAACAACAGCAAAGGCATGAGCAGAACTAACCAGAGCTCTTCCTTACCTATATGGTCGCACCTCCTCTGAAACAAAGAACAGAAGACCGCAGCCAATTTTGGTTGCCTTTCCCAAAGTTTTAAATGGGCTTCACTCTTGCTACAACCCCCAACCTGCCTTCAGTTTCTGCCACGTTGACTTTTAATGGTGCTGTGTCCAGCTCTGGATTGTGACTTCCTTATCCCTCCAAGCCCTGTACCACAGATCTGCCCATGTTATTCAAAGCCCCACAGTCCCATTCTCTTCCTCCTCAAAAATGGCCCCCATAAGGGGCTGTGCAAATATCTAAATGAGAGTAAGTCTGGACAACAAAACACTTAGGCAAGGAGCCTCCTCTCACCTGAGGACTGTCCTCAAGCCGTGAGAGAAAGGTCATTTTTTCAGAGCTTAATTTTGCTCTCCTGTTTTGCCATCCCAACTCCCAGAAGCTCAGGAAGAAGCAGTGGATGGGTGACATGTCTGTGTCTGAACACAACCCTTTCTCCTTCCAGATCCCAGGTCCAAAGTGGAAACAAGTTTGGACAAGTGTTATAAGCCCCACTGAAGACCTGCAGCCACCACAAATCATGGTGCGATGAGCCCAAGTTTTTCTGGGACAGGGCTGAAATTTCTCCTCCCCTGGGGCTTTGCATCCTAAAACCCAACCACGGCTCAGAGCACAATTCAAACCACTCATAGAGCATCAGTATCTGCACGGAACAGAAGAGAAGAGAGCAAGACCAAAGCCCTGCTTGCACCTTTGGAGTCGTGCTTTATGGCTGAAGAGCCACCAGTTGGACAGACCCAAAGCTGAGCTCCGTGCACCAAGAGCAAAATCACATATATTTCTTGCTGATACCCAGCACTGATGAAGGGGCTGCGCCCAGCAATCAGCGACTTCCACAAGCCACAGTTTATCCAGATGTGAGTCCCAGTGACATGCTCAGTGACACGTATCACAGCAGACAAAGGAAACACAAACAGAAGAAAGGGGACATGCTCCCTAGATGCAAGTGAAGTAGAGCAGATGCACATAAGCACTGCTGCAGAAAGGCACGTCCAGCAGGGATTCATGCAAACAGGCTCTGTAGAAAGCCAGTGTGCTCCTCAGGGACAGCATGAGGGCGTCCATAAGTGCACATCCCCCACGTGGTGAGCTCCATCCTCAGCCTCCTCTCCTCTCACCTCCAGCTCATTGCTGGATTTCCCACCTTAACCTGACCCTGCTTCATGCAGCAGCAGCTTCACATTTACAGCTACAACCCCTGGATGAATGCGCCTGCTTCTCAAACCAATTCCACACATACAACATCTGCTGAGCTGCTTTGGGCTCGCCAAGGGCAGACAGCAATCCAGGGCTCAACTCATGTGACTTGGGCTCAATTCCCACTTCAGTTACATGTTTCCTGTGTGAAACTGGGCAAGTCATACATCTACGACCCGCGTTAGTCCCCACTTCTAAAATGGGGATACTTCCCTATTTTGCAGATGTGATGTGAGTCATCCATGAGTGTCCGTGAGGCCCTCGGATACTACGGGAAGGGAGAGACCTGCAGAGATAAAGTATCCTCATAACTAGAAACAGACGGGGAGACCTCCAGGAGTCTTTCTCTGCTCATTAAAAACTCAAGGATTGAATGCTGCATTGGTTCACTTTTGTTTCTAACACACGTGGCTTCAGCAGTTCCCCTTCTCACCAACCTGGGCAGCTGTGGGCATCTGTACCAGCAGGAAAACAACTGGGAGCTTTGCCCCCATGCACAAATGATGGCTTTCATAGCTTAAAACAGTTTTTCTTTTTCCGCGAAAGCATCCAAATTGAAAGAGAATTAATTAATGCAGCTAGTCAGCAGCACTGCTGGAAAATGGGCAGCATGGAGAGAGGCTTTGTGCCCCACAAACCCGGGCAAGGAAAACACCATCTGAGAGCTCCCTTCCTCCCGGTCCCACAGATGCAGAAGACCAGACAGGGCTGTGCTACCCCAGAGCACACAGCTCTGCCCACACACTGTTACCTCTGGGTAGAGCAGTGGGCAGCTCCATCTCACCACAAACACACGCTTGGGAGCAGGAGTCTGCAGTAACCTCACTTCCATCATTAAGGACTTGAAGTTGTGTTCCTGCAGACAGGAAGGTAATGCCAACACACCACTCTTATATCCCAGAAGAGGATTTTTTTTTTCTTAATGTACCTAATCCTGCTTTCTCACACACAAAACTCAAGAAAACGGAGTTCTTTCCCAATTTTTAAGATGACCCTTAAGAGCCATACAGCACTGGTGGCTGTGAAGTGGGATTATGTGCATCACCATCACATCCCTCCTGAGGACTGTAACAATCTCTGCTTCTTTCACTTCTCACGCACTCACTGGTGCAAAGAAGTCATTAGTGAACTAATATTTTGAAACTACTGCTGTGTAATGATTCTTTCAAAATTCATCCGAATTCAATGCTCCAGACCTGCCAAACCCTGAGCCAGCTATTGGTGAGAGGGTGGTTCTTTCCAAAGGTAATGTGACTTGCATGCAGCTAAAGCAGTAATTGCCTTTCCCCAATAATACCTTCCCCCTGCTGAGACTTAGGGTTAAACTCATGCATTGAGAAACCTTCCAAAACGTTTCTACATAGTTTCAAACCACAGGAGTGGGGGAAAAAAAAGAAAAAAAAAAAAAAAAGGACAACTACAGTTCAGATGGAGTTTACGATTTCTGCTCAATCTCATAATTGCAGGGTGAATCAGTGGGGAATGAGGTCTGAGTCAATCCCGCAGCCCCTGGTCTCCTGGCCAGCAAGCTTTGTGGAGATCAGCTGAAAATGGTTTCCCTTGACCCTCCCCTGACTTATCGATGAACTGCCTCTCCTTCCTGCCATGGATGCACAGAGCCATGGCTCAGCAGTCTTGCTGCCCTCTCACTTCTCCATTTGTGCTAAATTCAACCAACTCACTGATAGATAACAGAAACATAAAAGCAAAACCCAGGTACGCCGTGTGTCCCAGGTAATTTCAGCAGGTGAGAAGCGAAATGGTGCTTCAAAGCAAAGGTTGCCCTTCTGCAAGACTGCATGCAAAACCTGGACACCCCCATGGAGCAATGTGCTCCCATGCCACTGGTCCTCGGGGTCAAAAGATTGATCCTGGCTTCATCTGTTATGTGTATAATTGCAGCCTTAGAGCTGCTGCAGTCAGATAGAGCCCAGGTCACAAAGCTGTTGCTTTGCATGCGTAGGAGACCAGGCTTATTTTGTTCATCACTGCACACATCTTGTAAAGTCCCATGCAAATGCACTCCCCACCCCAGAGCCTGGTGCTGCAGGCAGAGCACATTGTCTGCATCCGCAGTTTGCAGCAGTGATTTTAGCTATCAGTGCAAAAAAATGGACCCTACAGCAATGACCAAAATGAAAACAAGCTCATCCCAACACTGGTTATTTCACCCTGCAGTGGGTGAGTCCCAGGTCCCGACTCCCAGCTGCCCACCTGGGAGGACTGGGTTTATCCCACCAGCAAGGAACTGCGGCTGTGTGTATTTTAAGATTAATTCCCACTGCAGAATATTCCTCAGTGTTCTACATGCACAGATTTTAGCCACTCAAGGTTTGGACCCCACGTCAGACTGCATCACTCCTGTATGGTTCTGCTTCATAAGGGTACTTATGAACTGCAAGCTCTACAAAAAGGTTGCAAGTCTTCTCTTTTCAGGCTGGAGAAAGTAATAAACTGGACTGCAGGGGTGTCTGACCAAGCATGGGCCATGGCCCATCCTCTCCATGGGGAACTCATCCTGCAGCCAGGTGCAGGGTTTGCCCCAAGGATGTCCTTGCAGGACACAGATGGGGCAGTGATGTCGCCTCCAGGTTTGCAGGACTGAACAAAACTGAATTAGGAGTTTAAAGACAGCACAAACAATGCAAGGCAACTTCTAACATTCGCATTTCATCTCTGCTCCTGGATAATTTTACTCCTCAAGCTATTCTGCAAACTGCTCTTTGTCTCGTTAACAATAAAACAGAAGCAATTAAGCAAAACACAATAAAACCTCAGCAAAATCAAATTCAAGCAGCCTCCAAAATCACTGTATAACCTCGCCAAAACGACAAAGTGATCTTTCAAGTTGACACTGCAAAACGCTTCCAGTTTGCTTTGAATACACAAGGGAAAGAAATGCTACAAAAAACCTCTGTATGCAAACGCACCTCTCCCTGCAAGTGGGAGCTGCATTGCTGCCTATCACTGCAGAACTGCTCCAAGGCCACGGTAAGGCCCCCTCTTTTTGCACAGAGCTGACTGTGCAAAA